CGTTTTCTTTGCTTCCACATATGACGTTTCCCCTTCCCGACGCGCGTCATGGATCCTCGACAACAATGACCTGCAGTGTCAATCTACGACCATGCACCGGTTTCGGCGTCTGGTGGATGGCGAAGACGCAATACTACCATGCGTGGACGAAGCCCCTAAAGATATAAACACTATTGAGAAAGAAATTGACAAAGTCATAACCGACCTGAACAGCACACGTGCAGTTTTGACGTCATCGTACTCCCAACTACGATCAATGGTTTCATCATTGAGGAAGAAAAACAAAGGGATCGATGAGCGGGAGACTTTGTGTAGCATCCGGGAGCAATGATTGCAAGCCGCCGAATCAACGGGTCGTGCCTTTGCCCCGGCCACGTGGACACACAGCGAGCCCGTCCCCGCTAACATCCACGGTGGGACAAAAGTAAACCTTGGTTTCTTGCTAGCAGACGGTGAGGCGTCCCTCTCAGGAAGAACGACAAGAACGCCGAGCTCATTGCGTGGTTCGCGGGCCGAATATGGCCCGTGTGCATCGGTCTCATCAGGCGGTGATCGTGAAGAGGAACACTCCAACAACAAAAAGAAGCGAAAAAGTACTCCGTGAACGAACCCTCGCTTTGAAGGTGCAGACGAACTGCAATACCGCTCAATGACTCTCACACGGTCGTCGGTGTCATTTGTAGCACATAATGCCACCCCTCACGATGTTCTTTGTTGCGATGCGCATACGTTCCATTATGCATGGAATCTGGACATAATGTTTGCGGCATTCGTTGGACGAATTAGTGGATTATCACTTATAGTGCTGCATTTTGTGAACTGCAGCCTTGTCTTGACGCTGCCCACAACCGGCGACCATGTGGTGCGCGCCCACGATTTTTCCAATGTTACTATTCCACAAAACTCCCTACCGGCGATAACGTGTATTATTACGAATCCATGATGCCAGTTACAGACCCTGTCGACGAGGCAATGGAGTACAAAGACAGGGACAAGAAGGAAGGGCGACATTTTTTTGTCACCGTCGAAGAGGATCGAGTCGTCAGGCTGACAACAGCGACTTACATTCGTGAGCATGCCATTCAACACATTTGGGTGCTCATGTCAAAGGCGTCATCTTACTTCAGTAGCCTCGTTCTAAGGCCAATCGAAGGTGATCGAATGTATGATATCGTACACCCTCTTGTGCATCGTATATTGGAAAGTCACTATGGCACGGTAGCTAGGGACGGGGTATGGCGCCTTGTCATATCTACGCCGTATTATGTGTGCAATGGCAAGGATTTTCTTCAATGTTCGTTCCTTATTGCGGTTTCCGATGCTAACTCAGAGGGCATTTCTTGCAGATTACCGGGTTGCGACAACATTATGGATCGGCGTGTGCAGGGCGACGGCCTCGAAGACAACGACGACTTCATGGACTACGGCCACCGAGTCAGACGCCGGAGATTGATGCGTGGTAGTGGTGGCGCGGCGCGAGGGCTGCGAGGCAACGCTCCGCGACTGCGGCAGGGTCTTCATGCGGCGCATCGACTGGGTCCACCGCCTCCGCACATGAATGCTGCGCAGATTCTCGCTGCTTGGCCCAACCCAACTGCCTTGGTCGAGAGAGTGGTGGCGTACGTCGGGTTGGAGGACAGGATGGACGAGTTCCTGCACACCCTTGTGGGAGACGACCGCTTGGGTAGCGCGCCCAACAGGTACGCGGGGTATAGGGAGTTTGCAGCTATTTGCAGTTATGGACGACGACAAAGACTGCCGCCAGAGTTCGAGGAGGCCATGCGGATGTGCTGGCCAAACCAAGCAGACGACGCTTGCGTTGGCTTCATTCCGGGTCCATCTGCTCCTCCGGAAAACGATGAAACGCGGTAAAGAGAGAGAGAGAGAGAGAGAGAGAGAGAGAGAGAGAGAGAGAGAGAGAGAGAGAGAGAGAGAGAGAGAGAGAGAGAGAGAGAGAGAGATTGACACATTTCTTCCTTTTATCTTCCAACTCCTCATATCTTTTTTTTTTTGTGATAGGCCGATGTGTTGCTATTTTCACTGCATACGTATCTGCAAGGATGATTGTCATTGAGTTCCCGGTTCACATTGTGCAGACCACATTTCTTCCTTTGATCTTCCAACTCCTCAATTTTTTTTAAATTTTTTTTTTATTTTTTTGGTCGATGTGTTGCTATTTCTACTTCATATTTAATTGCCGTTCTGTTGCGGGTTTACATTGTGCAGGTTTACATGCGAAAGATGTTGATCTCTCTCTCTCTCTCTCTCTCTCTCTCTCTCTCTCTTTCTCTCTCTCTCTCTCTCTCTCTCTCTCTCTCTCTCTCTCTCTCTCTCTTTTTCTCTCTCTCTGTCTCTTCAATCTATCAATCATTCCACCAACCAATCAATCAATCAACCAACCCGTCAATCAATTAGTCACTCAATCAATCAATCAAAGAATCAATCATCCATTCAATCAATCAATCAACCAACTAATCAATCAATCAACCAACCAATGAATAAATCAATCAGTCAATCAATCATTCAATCGATCAACCGATCAAGTTATCAATCAATCAATCTTTATTGATTGAGTGATTGATTGATGAATTTTATATGTTACGTTGATGAAACAGAAATACCGGATTAACTTTACATGTTATAAAATGTGTTCCAAAGTGATAAGTGTTCAACATTTCTGGCTCTGGCGGGTCAGTTGTCTGACATTTGTCAGATGTTAATTTGCTGACATTCCGTTCGATATCGTCATCTTGTGCGTCGACATGATACGGTAACAGAACGAGTTACCCTCCACTGTGATGGATCGTCGGAGACTGTTGGCCGCTGTGCGAGCCGATGTTGTCGTTTATGGTGACAGGACTGTAATGGACCCTTTCAGGGATCAAAATTTGACAGCCGAAGAGATTAGAAGCTGTTGGCCCGCAACTGCTTCGTTGTTGGATCATGTTGTGATTTTTGTTGGTTTGCAGGATGAATTACAGGAGTGTATGAACCTCCTTGTCGGACGTCAAGACCTAACACCGAAAGCAAATCGATTCAATGCGTACGTCACGTTCTCACGCAGGTGCGGATTTGTTTGATTTCGCCAGAAATTGTCGGACGAGTTTGAGATGGCGATGCGGGAACGATGGCCAGACAACAACCCGAAAGGTTTTAGGTTGCAGAACTCCGATCCGCCGGAGAATGTGCAGCCTCGTTGTCGTGCGCGGCGATAATGAAAGGTTGCTAACCTTTGCGCCATATTTTCGCGGAAATAAGAATTTTCATAATTTGTGATACGACAATAAACATGGAGCTTGTAATTTCCATAGTCACAATAACAGCCATACTTGCGAAGCCTTGGGTGATATGCGCCTTACTTGAGAGTTGCTACCTGTTTGGTGTGAGAAAATGTTATCCGTGAGACAATGGTATAAGTTATAAATCTCTATCCTCGATTTAGAAACAAATTCCACCTTTTGCAATAGCTGATGCAGACCCAGGGCTCCATCCCTAAACCTCACCTTACCTGTGTACAGTATTCCCGTGTGTTTTGAACCTGTGACCTATGTCAGAGGAAGTTCTTAGCTGTCTGTCACAGGTCGTAGCAGTAGGTGTCATAGGAAGTCCTTAGCTGTCTGTCACAGGTCGTAGCAGTGGGCAGTGGCAAGGCTAACCCGACAGGTTAGCAGTGCGACTGCACTGAGTCGGCGGTACATCCCCATGCAATTAGCAGTACAGTCCCAGTCAGTACAGGTCCAGTCAAGCAAGTAGCATATGGGACTGTGGGTACTCAGGGCCGATGAAAAGAGTCACGCCGGCACCAAACAGAAGTATAAATCAAGATGTGGCGCCAAGTCATTCATTCCTTCCTTCGTAAGCCATGCGGAAGCGCTGCTATAGCGACTTGTGCAGCGGTGGTATGCAAATGCCCGGAGAGTGCAGTGGGCGAGGAAGAAGAGCATAGCCATAGGACAATGGTAGGGCGGTAACAACCGCCATAGCTAGTAGCAAGGTGCAGCGTGTGTGTGTGTGAGCAAGTGTACAGTGAGTAGCATATGGGATATCCAGTGCGATCCTGTGTGTGTGAACAGAGAGTTGTTGGGCGTTGTGACGCCACAGCCATCTGAAGTGAACTTGTACTTGATTTGTGTTCTTATCAGCCATATATTTGAGCTATGTGTTTGGGTGCTTGTCACCGGTTTCGTATGAAGGCTGTTCGCGTGCAAGTGAAGTGAGCGACGAAGCAAGTCTGATTGCAATTTCGAAGTGACCATTACATTTCTTGCAAAGGTTGTATGCACATATTCCATCATATTTTGTGTGAGAAAATATTTTTTGTAAGATCTGTGTTACACACATGTTTACAACTAACGAGCATCCACGTTCCTCGCAAACACGTACATAGATACGATGTGACGACAAAAAACACAAAAAAGGGGGAAAAAAAAACGAACAGGGGGGTTTAAAAAAAAAAAAAGAAAGGAAAAACAAAAAAGAGGTAAAAAACAAAAAAAAGGGGGGGGGGGGGGGGGGGGGGGGGGGGAGGGGTTGAGGACGACAAGAATGTGAGACAAGACCACACATGGAAATAAAGTGGATCATAAAGACAGTGAGCATCAACCCGTCCACCTCGAAAGCCAACAGATAATAGAGCCACAGTTACTAGAGACCACGACATAACACAATCTCAATCATCGAATAACTCGACATCATCCGCGTCAGATAGGGAATCTCATGATCGCTCGTACACGGCATCCGCTGGTGCAGGGAACTGATCCCCGGTGTTAATGATAAAAATATTGTTATCCCCAACAACATCGGGATCCGCACCAGAATCAACCCCGTCCTCGTCACCACCAATCGTCTCTTCACGTTTGCAAAACAAATCGCGAGCCAGAGGAGGTGTTGAGGACCCAACCTCGCCCGACACATCACTATCATCGTACTCAAGAAGGCGTCGAGCCCAATCAGAAACGCCCTGCGAACCAAAGATAAATGTGGAGAGTCGATCCACCCACGAATCGTTGGGTGGTTGATTGTGACGGTAGTAGCTCGGCCTCGGACGAATCGAAATCCCTGAAGGCCTGCGGGCACGATACTCCACGGGATCCTGCCGTGCATGAGTGTTTCATCGAATGATTGCAATTGTCAAACGCGGCTCATACGACTTCTCGAAGTGCAAGGACTTCTTCTCGTAGATGATGATCGTCCCTGGAAGGTCTCAACGGCGGACGTGTGACGGAACTCTGTGTAGTATGAGCAAACAGTCGTGCTGCAATGTCTGCCCAACGTCCGCCGAATGATGTCATACACGGGGTCGTCGCGTGTGTATAAAGGCAATCGAGTCGGGCCACCCCCCCTGCCGCATAGAAGCTCTTTGTCCCCCATGCACCTCAAGTGGTCCCCTGCCCAATGCTCCGCGATCATCATGATATCATTGTGTAAACTGACAGAGTCGCCGCCCTCATCTCTGCAAAGCTCTGCAGCACGAAGAAACCATAGTCCCGCCTCATGCACATGGAAATCAGTCACACCGTTTGGATCCACGATCAAGGATTGCTCATTTGTCGTCGTGCCGTACGGGTACATTTTCTTCAACACAACACCGACGAAGTCGCTTTTCTTCAATCGTTCTTCTTTTTGCGTCAAACACCCTGGTCCAAAACGGTTAGACAAGACATCCAACAGCTCCCTCTTCGTGAACTCTAAAAGTTGAGCTTCAGAGACGCATTGATGAGGGTTATTCAATTTTTTTGGCACCTTCAAGGCTTTCCTTAGTGCCTTGCGAACGTTTTTCACCTTATGATGACAATCCTTCTGCCATTCAATACCGAGGCGCTCCAATTGCGGACTTAATGCAGCAAAATCGTCGGAGACAATGCACCTGATCTTCAAACCCCTGGAAAGCAAGCCTCTCAACAGTCGCACAACAGCAGGAACCTCGAGCTGGGTTGATGCCTTTCCCTCCGTCTTTGGACGAAGAGTATGAACATCCACCACAAGACGAGTGTCATACTCAATCGTGGTTACAGTGCAATGCTGCGCAGACCTAGCCGAGTCGTAGCGACCATCGACCATCAATGTGACTGGTTTCCCTGATCGCATAACAGTGTCTATCGCCAAGTCACAGTACCGCACGCCCTGTCTAACGGCCTTTGCATTCCAACCCTCACGCACATTTGTCTCACCTCGCATGTAGCTATAAAAAGTAGGCTTGTGCACAGGTGCCACCCCAAGCGTGATGCAGAAGTTGTTCAGGACGGTGTAGGTCATACCCGTAGTGACGGTCGCATGGAACAACTGCTGCTGTAGTCTGCAGGAGTACACATTCCCCGTGACCAGTGCACTGTGCCATGTCCATTGACAAGACTTACGACAAGCAAGTGAAATGCGACAAATCTGTCCCGGGTAACCAACAGATGACACATCCACACGACACCCGGACCCGTGGCGCAGGCAACACAAATCGAACATCCCGAGCAATTGTAGCAGCTTGACCGGCTCCCTGAACACGACACCCGGCGCTTTCGGGCCTTTCCAGTGCCGCATGGTTTTCAACACATTTGGCCAATCAAGGTAAGGTCTGCTCTACAGGGCGTCATCGGCTGAATCACACTAGCTGACTGGCCGTACATAATCAAACTGCGAACGCAACCTCCCACGTCCGGGTGGCCGGCCGCGCGATCTGCGGCCACGCTGTGAACCGTGACCCGAACGAGGAAGCGAATCATTCGACCCATAAAACGACCCCCCATTGCCTCCACCGCTCCCCGCACCCTCACGCTCGCCATCATCATCGACATCTGCCGTCGAATCATGCCCTCCTTCTCCAAGACAGAAGACCTCAGCATGACTGTCGGGCGGGAGTGTTGTCGCGATCCTCGGCGCCACACCCTCCCCGAACTCCGACTGGATGGCAAGCAATGATAACAAACGAAGCAAAACATGAACACAGTTGACGTACTACTTCAGCCAGCCCTCTTGCTAGTCTGAACCATATTCTGATTGGGATCCACATTCACCTGCTGACGGTCAGGCTCCGGTCCCTGTAGAATAGAAGCTAACAACCACCGAAAAGAAGAGAATTGTGAAGGGTGGGGGCGGGGGTGGGGGCGGGGATGGAGGCTGTCTCTTATACACATCTAGATGTGTATAAGAGACAGGTCGTCGGGAGGGTGGTCATTTTTTGGTTTTGGGGCCTTGCAAGGGCCAGGACCGCATAGGACCGGTAGCTGCGCGTATAGGAGGCCGAGGAGGCCGCAGTCCTTTTTCAAAATTGAAACAGTGCGAGTCCACTTTTCTCGAATAGCAGAGT